ATTAGAACCAAAAGGATAGTTGGAGCTGATCGGTTCTAGTGGTCTATACCATTTTGGAGACATGGAGCCCATTTGGTTAGAGAAGTTTGAGGAACATAAGGGAATCAAGTGAAATCAGGGCAACAATATAAAATTTTCAGCAGCCTTGGGTCACAGAAAGAGTATTGTAGAACTGAGGCCTTTTAAAGTAAAACTTAACACCTAAACTGGCCAAAGGTAGACTCACTGCTTTCTGTACCTATAATATAACAATAGCCATGTTTTATAGTGTACAAATTACTTTCACATACATCCTTCTGTTTGGTCCTTATAATCTTGTAGTCAAGACACATTGTCATTTCTGTTTACAAATGAGGAAACTATTCTAGTAAGTTGGAAAGACAAGACTAGAACTCAGGATTCTACTGCCCATTGTACTGCCTGGTGTGTAAATGTGAGTAAGTTTTGTTTTAATTTTAATTTTTTTTGGGGGGGGATTGTGTCTTGCTCTGTTGCCCAAGCTGGAGTGCAATGGCACCATCTTGGCTCACTGCAACCTCTGCCTCTCGGGTTCAAGCGATTCTTCTGCCTCAGCCTCCCGAGTAGCTGTGACCACAGGCGTGTGCCACCATACCCGGCTACTTTTTTTGTATTTTTAGTAGAGATGGGGTTTCACCATGTTGACCAGGATGATCTCGGTCTCTTGACCTCGTGATCTGCCCACCTCGGCCTCCCAAAGTGCTGAGATTAACAGGCGTGAGCCACTGCACCCGGCCAATATTTGTTATTTATTATTTTGTTTGAGGTGGAGTCTTGCTCTGTCGCCCAGGCTGGAATACAGTGGTGCAATCTTGGCTTACTGCAGCCCCTGCCTCCAGGTTGCAGCTATTCTCCTGCCTCAGCCTCCTGGGTAGCTGGGATTGCAGGTGCGTGCCACCATGCCCTAGAGAAGGCATTTCTCCATGTTGGCCAGACTGGTCTTGAACTCCTGATCTCAGGTAATCCGCTCGCCTCAGTCTTCGAAAGTGCTGGGATTATAGGCGTGAGCCACCACACCCGGCCAACCTGGACAATTTTTAAATTTGTAAAGTCAAAAAAATTTAACGTATGTATATTTTTGAGACAGAGTCTCACTTTGTCCAGGTTGGAGTGTAGTAGCGTGGTCACAGCTCACTGCAGCCTCGATCTAGAGCAAGTGATCCTCCCACTTTAGCCACCCAAGTAGCTGGGACTGTAGGCATACACCACCACACCTGGCTAATTTCTAAATTTTTTGTTGAAAAAAGGTCTCACTATGTTGCCCAGGTTGGTCTCAATCTTCTGAGCTCAAGTGATACTCCCATCTCAGTCTCCCAAAGTGCTAGGATTGTAGGCATAAGCCACTGGACCTGGCCTGGTTTTATTTTTGGAGAGACGGGGTCTTGCTATGTTTCCCAGGCTGGTCTCAAACTCCTGGGCTCAAGTGATGCTCCTGCCTCAGCTTCCCAGAATGTTGTTACAAGTAAAATTTCAATGCTGCAAAAGAAATAGCACTTGATAAATCCTCTCAGCAAGGCAGTTTACTTTTAGGGAAGGGTGTGGCGTACGGATGGTGCAATGGTGGCTGAACGCTTGGACAAGCGGTAAGAGGTACTTATGCCTGACGAGGGTTGACTCTACTGCTGTGGTGTTCCCCTATTGACTAGGTTTAGACGGTACAACTTAGACTAATCCTGATTGGCTATTTAAAAAAGAGCAGGGGTCTGAGCTGGAGTGGCAGGGTGGGTGTTTTGGTGGGAAGGACAGGTTACGGGCAGGTCAGAGCAGGTAACCAGGGTGACCCAGGTCAAAGAAAGTAGCTGGAGCAGGTCACCGGGATGAGTCAGGATGGAGCTGGGGGACCAGAGGAACAAATGTGAACTACTGATTAGAACCAGAGGAGAAGGTTGTTTCCTGGAATTACAAGGAAGTTAAACTTTAAAATGGAGAATTAGAGAGCTGAACATACTGACATACTGATTCTTTGAAGAAAAACTTGGAGTTCACTATAACAGTTGGGATTGCAGGCTTGAGTCACTGTGCTTGGCCTTGGCCAACTTTCTCTAAGCAGGTGAATAACAATTTTAGATGTGGTTTTGTTGCTAAATTTCACAAACATGGTCAAGGAAGCCTAGTCTCAATTACAGATTACTGGTTAGAAAAGGAAACAGCAGGGCTGGGCACGGTGGCTCATGCCTGTGATCCCAGCACTTTGGGAGGCTGAGGTGGGTGGATTACTTGAGGTCAGGAGTTTGAGACCAGCCTGGCCAACATGGTGAAACCCTTTCTCTACTAAAAATACAAAAATTAGCTGGATGTGGTGGCATGCGCCAGTAATCCCAGCTACTCGGGAGGCTGAGGCAGAATTGCTTGAACCTGGGAGGTTGAGGTTGCAGTGAACCAAGATTGTGCCACTACACTCCAGCCTGGGCAACATAACGAGACTTTGTCTCCAAAAAAAAAAAAAAAACCCAAAGAAAAGGAAGTAGCAGAGCCGGCTCTTTGAGTGCCAGCTTTCAAACAGATACATTAATCCTAAGCTAGTTTTATCAATTTATTAATAAGCACTCCCAAAGTGCACACAAATTCTTAAGTCCTTTCTAATTCTAAGCTTGTTTATACCCTTGTTTGGTAAGGTTTCTTTGGCAAGATGAAAAAGAACCTGATGCATAGAGATGGGATTGCTGGATTCTAGTTTTGTTTGTCTGTTACTAGCTTCCTAAAAAGATCTCACAAGTCCCTTAGTTTGTTTGCTTATCTGTCATAGGAGATAAGAGTATTTATCTTCTCTTCCTAAAGTTTATGTAGATTTAAAAAGTTATTCTGGGAGATTTGGAAGCACTTTCAGATGAAAGACATTATAGCAGTCCTCTGTCATAGGTACTGAAATATGTATTACGGATGCAATTTAAGAATGAATGGCAAGACTTAAAAAATTATTTGAAAAGTTTGAATAATTTGTATAACATGAGATACTCGAATGAATCAAATGATATGCCTCTACTTCTGTATTTTCAGACCTGTTTATAGTTTCTTCAAGGACAGACGGAGATAGTATGGTTCAAGATGTCATTAATAGTGTTATTGGAAAGGACAGTAGTATATCATTGTTAAATATGGTTTAGTCTGGCTTTTTTGTTTGATTGGTGAAACTGAGACCCAGAAAGTATAAAAGACTTATCTGAGGTCCAACAATATGTTAGTGGTAGAACTAGAGCCCGACACCTGAGTTTCTCACTCTCCATCCAAGTTTCTCTACACTTAGAAGGCATGTTGTCTTACTCTCAGTTTCCCGCTTTAGTCAGAAAAGATCACTGGCTCTGGATTCTCTTCTTTCTTTCTTGTTGGTAAGTGGGGTAGGCAGGACGGGAGTGAGAAAAACGCAGGTCTTAAAGAAGTTGACATGTCTTCTGGAGCTTGTGTTTTTTTCCTCCACTTTTTATTTTTTTATTTTTTTCGTCCAACAAAATTTTTCTTCCACTTTATTATCTAGAGTGTTCTGAACTCCAACATGAAGTGACTTCAGTGTGAGAAGCAACTCAGTGATGGCATTCAGGGCAGCTGCCTTTACCACCTAGGTTAGCTTATGCAGAGCAAGCTGCTGCCACTTCGTTAGCCCCCATACCCCTGATTGGTCCTTACCCTATTTTACCATCAGCTTATTTACTATGTTGGCTTTTTGGTGAAGAGACTGCACAGGGCAGAAAAACCGTTAAAATCTCTCCTGGCTTTTTCCCTGAACAAACCTGAATGCTACTTATAGGGGGGAAAATAAAATTACTTTCCCCTTGCTTCCCATATAATTTAGGATCACTAGAAAACTCTGTGATCCCAAGTTATTTGTTTTTCTCTGATACCAATTTTTCTGGTAACAGAGTTATCCTTGTGTGTACTTTAGTAAAGGGTCTGAGGGTGGTTTTTCTAGAGACTGAATGACCCAGAGTTGTTTCAGTCTGAATCATTTCTATTGTTCTACTTCCATGTTTCACTGACTCTTTCCTTTGTCATCTCCATTCTGTCTTTAAGTCCATCCAGTGAATTAAAAAATTTCAGATACTGTATTTCTGTTCAAAAATTTCCAATAAAAGTTTTTTTTCAGCCTCCCTTCGGAGATTTACTGTTTTTCCTCTTCATTTTGAGCATATTTTCTTTTACCTCATTGAGCTTAGTTATAATAGCTATGTTAATATCTTTGTCTAAGAATTTCAGCATATGGATCATGTTGGAGTTGCCCTCTGCTGATGGTCTTTTCCTTTGCAAATGGGTTTAATTTTTCTAGTTTTTTTTTTTTTTTTTTTGAGACAGGGTCTCACTGTCGCCCAGACTGGAGTGCAGTCGTACAAACATGGCTCACTGCAGGGCTCAAGTGATCCTCCTACCTTAGCCTCCCAGATAGCTGCAACCACAGGCATGCACCACCACACCTGGCTCACTTAAAAATTTTTTTTTGTAGAGACAGTGTCTCACTGTGTTGCCCAGACTGGTCTCAAAAACACTTTGGGTTCAGTTGATCCTCCTGTCTTTGCCTCCCAAAGTGCTGGGATTACAGGCATGAGCCACCATGCCCAGCTAATTTTTTGTATTTTTAGTAGAGACGGGGTTTCACCATGTTGACCAGGATGGTCTTGATCTCTTGACCTTGTGATCCACCCCCCTCGGCCTCCCAAAGTGCTGGGATTACAGGCTTCAGCCACCGCGCCCGGCCGAGGAATGTTTAGATGTTTTAATTTAAGCAAAGACAGTGGCTTCTACCCTAGGGACCATATCATTTTATAGGAAAGGGGAAGTTTCCATAGCCAGATTCTTTCTTGACTTCCCTGAGAGAGACCTAGCCAGCTTAGCCAGCTTCCTTTAGTGTTAGGATCTAGATACAGATCTTACTTTGGGCCATTGCTGACAGTGAATTCCATGTGAAAGTCTTTGGGATAGCCTTCTGGGTCACCTCAGTCTTGGTATGATTCATGCATTACCTATCTCTTCTATTCTGTTTATATTCTATTCAGGTCAAGAGACAACTGCCTTTGAAAGACAGTGAGTGACCATTTCCAAATCAGAAAGCATAGGGAGAGCTGCCGGAAGTATTGACGAAAAGCTTGTATTACCTAAATGGTAAGTATGCTGTACTGCGAAACCTGGGCATACCAATAGAATTGGGTGGTTTCTGAAGCCACTGTAATTTTGCCACTATTGGAAGTGGAGAGGAAAGTCAGCATTTGTGATGGCCTATTATGAACCAAATACTATGCTGAGTACTTTACATGTTTTCTCCTTTAACCAACCAACCTGATGAGGGTGAAAAATCCTTGCTTGAAGTCAGCAACCTTAAGAAGTAGGCCTGCCACCCTTAAGAAGTAGCTACCATTTATTGAATATTTACTCTGTGTCAGGCACAGTCCCGTTGGACATCTTATCTCTCTACCAACTTTATGAGGTAAGTACTGTTGTCATCACCACAAGGAAACAAGTTTAAAGAGATTAAATAATTCTTCCAAGTTCACACAAGTAGTAGAACTAGGTTTAAAACCTGTGTTATTTTCTTTAATTTTTTTTCTGAGACTGGAGGGCAGTGGCATGATCATGGCTCACTGCAGCCTGGACTTCCTGGGCTCAGGTGATCCTCCCACCTCAGCCTCCCGAGTAACTAGGACTACAGGTACATACCACCATGCCCAGCTAATTTTTTGTATTTTTTTTTTTTTTTTTTAAGAGACAGGGTCTCTATTGCCCAGGCTGGTCTCGAACTGCTGGGCTAAAGCAATCTCCTGCCTTCATCTCCCAGAGTGCTGGGATTACAGGCGTGAGCCACTGCCCTGGTGGTTTCCCAAAGTGCTGGGATTACAGGTGTGAGCCACCACCCTTGGTATTGTCATTACACTGTAATGTATCCCTTGTGATAAAGTTACTTTTTGGTTGAGGCTGTGACTGGTTTAACCTTGGAAAAGCAAAGCATAATACAAAACCTTTTGATCAGCAACTAGCTTCTTTTCCTAGCCATTTATGGATTTTATGTGCCAATATTTTATTGGTTAGTGTTAGCTAAAGCAGAGGAGAGCACTAATGAAATAGAAGAGAGAGAAGTGAGAACTTGAGTGGTGAGTGACCAAGACACCCAGTGGTCTTGGTTGCTACTGATAGCTGGATGATAGTTAGAGAAAGCTTCCCTAGGAAAGTAGAGCAATAGGGTAACTCAGAATGAGTGGGAAATGGGTTCTGATCATAGCAGTGACTGGGCATAGGAAAGGAATCTTAACAAAGCCTCTTGCTCTCATTTCAACCCTTCTTAGGAAATAGCTGTAGTTAGGCATAATACAGAACTCTTCTTGAAGGAGTGGGAAAATATCAAGGCAAACTCTTGCCCTGTTAATTGGTTCAGGATTCTTGTTCTATTCCTTTCCCTGGAGCATTTCATTTACCTCAGAGAACTGGGTCGTAAAATTAATTTCTTGTTGGGTGAGTGGCAGCCAGTATTTGGTCTCTTTTAATGGAAACACCAATGGTGTTTTAATATATTTGGTGAAATTTTGGGGAAAACAACCATTTTATTCATAAAATTTATTACACTTTTTTTTTTTTTTGAGACAGTCTCACTCAGTCACCCAGGCTAGAGTGCAGTGGCACGATCTTGGTTTACTGCCACTGCAACCTCCATCTACTGGGTTCGAGCGATTCTGCTGTCTTAGCCTCTTGAGTAGCTGGGATTATAGGTGTGTGCCACCATGCCCGGCTAATTTTTGTATTTTTAGTAGAGAGAGAGTTTTGCCATGTTGGCCAGGCTGGTCTTGAACTCCTGACCTCAGGTGATCTGCCTACCTTGGCCTCCCAAAGTGCTGGGATTACAGGTGTGAGCCACTGGCCTCAGCCTATATATACCTATTATAAATAAAATATTTTGCTATATACTGGAGCTAATGTTCTGATGACAAAAATTGACCACTTACTACATGCCTTAGTTATTGGAACTAAGTATTAAACAAACTAAGCATTAAACAAAACAGAAAAAGTCCTTGCTCTCAAGGATTGTATTCTAATGGGTAGAAACAGATAAAAATGAATAATAAACAGGTACATAGATAGATAACATCCCACTAATGGTGCATGCTAAGAAGACAAAAAAAACAGGGTAAGGTGATAGTGATGGGAAGCTGAGGGATTGCTCCTTATCTATTGCAATCAAGGGAGACCTCTGATGAGGTGATATTTTAAGCTAAGATCTAAAAGAAGTGAGAAGATCGACCAGGGAGTTATCTGGGGGAAAAGCATCCTAGGCAGAGGGAACAGCAGGTATAAAATCCTTGAGGTATGAGTGTAGCTGGTCATGTATAAGGACCCATAGGGAGGCCATGTGGTTGGAGTGGAGTAGTAGGGAAGGAACAGCAGATGAGTGAGGGTTGTATATAGAAATATTGTATATGAGTGAGAGTTTAATATAGAAATACTAGACCTAGAGCACGTAGGGCCATACAGCCATGTGGCATCTTTGGAGTGCATTTTATTCTAAGTGAGGTGCACCAGAGAGCTTATAGCAGAGGAGTGACTTGATCTGACTGATTCTTCAACAGATTACTCTGGGTGCTGTGGGAGAACAGACTGTGGAGGGTGGGGAAGGATGGCCAATGATGGGAGCAGGGAGAGCAGTTAGGAAGCTTTTTCAGTAATCAGTAGTCCAGGGTAGGGATGAAGGTGGGTTGGACCTGGATGGTAGTGGTGCCTAAGAAAGCAATGGATTCTAGACATATTTTGAAGGTTGTCAAATTCTAATTCTCACCATAGACATGTTTGATTTTTTTTTTCCCCTGCCCCTGATTTTTTATTTTTTACTTTTTTTGGTTTTGTTTTTTGAGACAGGGTCTCACTCTGTCACCCAGGCTGGAGTATAGTGGTGTTATATCAGCTCATGGTAGCCTCGACCTCCCAGGCTCAGTTGATCCTCCCACCTTAGCCTCCTGAGAAGAAGTTGGGATTACAGGCGCATGCCACCACACCCAGCTAATTTTTGTATTTTTTGTAGAGACACAGTTTCGCTGTGTTACCGAGGCTGGTCTCGAGCTCCTGGGCTCAAGCTGTCTGCCTGCCTTGGCCTCCCAAAGTGCTTGGATTATAGGAATGAGCCACCATGCCCAGCTAAGATGTTTGATTTATTTGGAGTTAGCCTCTGGGTCACGTGGGTGTGAGGATGTCATTGGAAACTTGACAGCGATCTCTGGTAAAAATTTTGAAATAGATTGATCAAAGAATGAGAACAACAGTGACCCCTAGAAGCAAGCTTGCGTTCACTAAGAATAAATCATGCTAGCTGTTAACAATTCTTTTTTTCTTTAAACCTTGCCATGATTTTATATAAACTATCTGTACAAGTTTAATATAGAAATATTTGAGAATAGACATAAGCAAAAACAGAAAAAAAGCACACCATCCAGGATAATTACCATATAGCAGTTTGATATCTAACTGAGCATTTCATTTTTGGAAAGATTCCTAGGTTGCCGGAAGATTGGAATATGCTATAAAGGTAATGTGTCTGAAGTGGTAAAATTAGGTATTTAGTGTTTTCTCATGTGATCCCAAGACAAAAGAAAATTTGACCTGATTTGGAGCTTGTTGAATAAATTGCACTCTGGAATTGTAGTACCAATTAATGGACCAGTGTTTATAGGAGCTGTTTTTAGTGACATTCTGCAGGGCTGTTTTTGGTTATATTGTTTTAGAACATCAGTTTTGGATGAAGATGTAGAAAAGGCATGCCTATGAGACTTAAATAGTGAATGTTTGCAGGCTAGACAGTGTAGAGAATATTTAGTCAAGGGATTGAAACTAAGGAGTTGAAATTAAAAAAAAAAAAAAAATTTAAGCTGAAACTTACATGACACTTAATATGGACCAGGTACTAGTCTAAGCAATTCTTGCATTAACTCATTGACACATACCATAACCATACAGGTATGGAAGCATAGAGAAGTCAAATGACTTATCCAGGGTCACACAGCTAGTAAGTAGTAAAGTCATCGTTTGAACTTAGGCTGCCTGGCTTCAGAGTTTGTAAACTTTATCATTGTATTGTATTGCCTGCATATTTCAGTTATTAAAAATGAGATTTAATGGTTTATTTGAAAGCAAAATCAGTGTGAACCTACAAACTGGTACTGTGGCTGCCAGATTAGTTCATGCAATTTTGGACTTCATTATTAGAACTGGGCAGACCAGGTCATCTTTTATCCATCCCACCCTTTTACCCCATTGCTACTGTCCTGGTTCAGGCCCTTATCCCATCTCTTACCTTGACTATTACAATAGCACCCTAGTTTATCCTGCTAGAATGGTCTTTCAAAAACCGCAGTTCTGGTTGTTACTCCCTTACTTAATCCCTTTGCCCAATACGGTTTGCAAATGTTCTTCCCATATCCACTTGCAGGCATATCATGTGTGTTTTGGAGAACCTATACAGTGGCATTATTTTTATTTCTTCTCTTTTAAAATCTGAATTTATTGGCTATATTGAAGAGATTGTATATAAAAGTAGGGCATAGCCCCTCTTAGCCATAGTCCTTCTAGGCCTTTTAATCATTTAAATCATTGGCCTCATCTCTTTGGCACTTGTTTGCAGCCTTTGGCATAAAGGCTAAGCATCTTTCCTAGAATGTAGGGCCCAGATCTGAAAATAGTCCCCTTTATCTAAATTTCGCTAGTATAGAATACAATGAAACTATTAACATTAATTTGTTTATAAAATGTTTATAAGGTTCCTACCTTACACTTGTTACTGTATTCAGTGACCAGGACTGAAAAATGAAGATAACACAGTCCCTGTTCTCAGAGCCCAGTAGAGGATAACAAATATTTTAAGTATCATGGGTATAGCGAGAGAAGCATCTACAAACTTTAGGTTGGTGCATTTCTGTTGTGGGGAAGGATGGTTTGAAAAGGCCTCAACGAACAGATGCGTTAAAAGATGTTTGCCATTGGGCCAGGTGTGGTGGCTCACACCTGTAATTCCAGCACTTTGGGAGGCCGAGGTGGGCAGATCACTTGAGATCTGGAGTTCAAGACCAACCTTGGCAACATAGTGAAACCCCGTCTATACTAAAAAAAAAAAAAAAAAAAAATAGAAAAATTAGCCGGGTGTGGTGGCACAGACTTGTAATCTCAGCTACTCTGGAGGCTGAGGCAGGAGAGTTGCCTGAATCTGGAAAGTGTAGGTTGCATTGAGCTGAGATTGTGCCACTGCTCTCCAGCCTGGACCATGGAGCCAGATTCCATCTCAAAAAAAAAAAAAAAAAAAGATGTTTACCATTGGAATGGCATGGTGGGGGGACTTGGAAGGAAGATAAGGAAATGTTCCTTGAACAGTACACCCTCAGCACGTGCTGTGAGATTTCAAAGCCCTCAAACCTTACCAGTTAATTACTCTACTCTTCCCCTTGTGTCTCTGATACCAGCCATGCTGAATTAAATTCCCTGAATGCAGCATTATTTTGTTAGCTTGCTCACTCCTTTCCTCCTTCTCTCCCTCACTCTTTCCCTCTCTTCCTCCCTCCCTCCTTCCCAATAAACAACTATTTTATACTCTTTATGTACCAGGCGCTGTTTAAGGGGCGGGGGATACAGCAGTAAAAAATTACAAAAAACTATGCTTCTGACCTTGTGCATCCTACTTTCTGTTAAGAAGAATCAGACGGTAAGTAAATTTACAAGTAATTAGGTGGTTAAATGTGCCAAGAAGAAAAATAAGTAGGTTCCTTAGAGCTGTCCAAAGATGGAGTGAGTTGCCTTGGGAGGAAGTGACTGTCATTCCTGTCATCAGAAGTGTTTGAACAGGAGATGAGTGACTACTTTTCTAGATAACGTCTGCATTGAGTGGGAGGCTGGATTAGATGATCTCTGAATCCTTTCCAACATGAAGAATCTCTATATGCTAGCTGGACTCCTAACTCTGAGTTTGCATATCCAAAGTACATGATTTGTGATTCTGGGAAAAATAATGTAAGCCCTGAAATTAAATAGAAACTCTCAAGAATTGATGGTGACGCTTAGACAGCCTAAGGTCTTAAAATAGGTAACTGCACATGGCTAGGAGGAAGCTGCTTGAAAATAGCTCTTGCCTGGGGCCAGTGGTTCACGTTTGTAATCCTAGTATTTTGGGAGGCTCAAAGGCCAAAGTGGGAGGATGGCTTGAGTCCAGGAGTTTGGGACTAGCCTGGGCAGCATAGAGACCCCCTCTCTACAAAAAAACCCCCCAAAAAACAGAAAAAAACAGAAAAATTAGCCAGCTATAGTGGCATGTGCCTCTAGTTCCAGCTGCTTGGGAGGCTGGGAGGTTGAAGCTGCAGTGAATTGTGATTGCTGCACTGCATGACAGCCTGGTAGACCCTGTCTCAAAATAATAATAATAGTAATAAATTTTAAAAACACTCTCATCCTTTAGATCAGAGATTGACAAATTCTGGCAGACAGGCCCACTGTCTTTTGCTTTTTAAATTTTTAATAATTTATTTAAATAGAGACAGAATCTCGGCAGTATTGCTCAGACTGGCCTTGAACTCCTGGCCTCAAGCAATCCTCCCTGCTTATCCTCCCAAAGAGCTGGGATTAAGACATTAGCTACCATGCCCTGCCCACTGCTTGTTTTTGTAAATCAAGTTTAATTGAAATATAGCCGTGTTCATTCACTTGTATACAGTATGTATGTGGTTGCTTCGTCACTACGTTGCCAGAGTTGAGTAGCTGGAATAGAAACCTTAGATCCTTTAAAGCCTAAAATATTTCCTCTCAAGCTAAGTTTGCATACTTATGTGTATACTATCAAACTTTAAAAAACAGTTTGCGGACCCCTCTTTAAATGACTATCGGGAACAGGAAGTGAATCATGGCAGCTGTGTTGGAAGAAGGGGCAGGGCAGGCCTGATTATGTTCTATTTCAGACCTTCCTGATCTGCCAGGACAGGAAGAAGAGCCATCCTCCAAAATGCTGGATAGGGCCACTTGGAACTGGGCTCAGGAGCTTTGATAGAAAGAGCCCTGAATGAGAGACAGTTGGCACTGTATCTTGCTAGTGTGACTTAGAACTGAGTTAGGTACTAATGTAGGGGAAGGTGGCATGAAAAAGTGAGACTGTCTTTCCCTTTTTAAAAACCTTCCTATGATTTTTCCAAGGTTTAATATAAACAATTTCCATCCCAGACCCCACCCTCAGGCACATTTAATCACTTCTTCTGAGCTTCCTGTGCATATGTATGATGGTACAATGTGCTAAGGAAAAAAGAAAGCAGGATAGAGGACAGGACGTAAAAGGGTGGGTGCTATATTATGTAAGGTGGTCAGGGAAGGCTTCTTTATCATTGTTCTTTAATTGGTTATATCTGTATGATTCCTTAAAGGCAAGGATAAGGTTTTCTAATTATCTTGGCAAAATGCTGGGTGCATCATAGATGTTCCATAAATGTCTGTTAAATAAATAAATTTTGTCTGGATAAACATACTTAACAGAGAGTAAGGGAGGCAGTAGGAGGAGAGGCGTCTACTTTGCTTTTTGATGATCCGGGAGTAGCAAAGCATTTCCTACTCTGGCTATGCTTCGGGCTGAAAGGTCAGAGATAAGTGATCTCCTAACCCCATTTTCAGAATATTTCCTTGTTTACCCTGGGGAGAAGGGATGATCTTAGTGAATCACTATTTTTAGGAGAGGATTCTGTCTGATGAAACTTACCTTAGGTATGCATAGGACTTTACGAAGTGCTTTTGCTAACTTTATTGCATAGTGTTGCTGTAAGGTAGTTGAGTTGATATTCTTTTATTTTTTCAGAGGAACTAAAGCAACATAGAGAAAATCAGTGACTTGGCCAAACAGTATAGTATTCTTAAAAGAATATGAACTTTGGAATCAGACCTGGATTCACTCTGACTAATCTTGCTAGCTGTGTACTTTGGGAAAGTCCCTACCCCATAAGGTTATTGTGAAAGCTGAATAGAATAATAGTAGTAGTTACTGTTTGTTGTGACTTATGTGCAAGGTATTCTGCTAAGCATTTTACATGCCCAGGGATTACCATACTATCTTTGTATGGACATCGAGGGAAGACCTCAGTGGAGTAATGTAAGAACGTGTAAGGTAAGAACATGTAAAGTAAATGGTAGATCTGGGATTCCTGCAGAGAGCATGCGTCCTATTTGTGGTTGTACTTAATTGTTCCCTTACACCCTTTTGTCATTGTTAGTTTGTTTATAGAGTAGTGCTCAGAAATCCTCATTTTGTAAAAATGCTTACAAGGTTATAGGGAGGTGATTTTGCACAATGAGAAGAATCCTAAATATAGAGTCAGGAGACTGAAGTCCTTGGCTTTGCTAAACTGCTGGAGAAAAGCACAGTATCTACTTCTGTGTCTGTTTCATTGTTTCTAAAATAAGGGAATCCAATAACTAGAGCTGGACATCTTATGAGTGTTGTGTTTTTTGGTATCTATGTCCTGTTTGCGTGCATAGACCTGCAAGAAAGGGCTTCCCAGCAGGTCGGGGGAAAGTATTGCGGTTGAGACATTGTGGAAGTGGCACAGGGCTAGGATGAGATCATTCAGAGCATTACCACAGGGCCTGAGATTCTGCGCTGTCCGGTCACTCTTGCCATCTGTTTTCTCCTTTGTAATCCATGATTAGGTCATGGACATTTTTGTTATTTTCTGTTAATGGTCATTGCCAAAGGTATTTTTGATAATTAGGAGGCTCACTCATCAGTCAAATTCATTGAATTTTTAGCATTCACTTTGTGCTAGGCTCCCTACTGGGTACTGAGAATACAGTGGTGACACAAGTTGGAGAGACGAATTGAGTAAATAAAACTTCATAGATTCTGTGATGGGAACCATGTAGCAGACTGTGAAAGCAAAAAAGAGAGGCCCTGATCTGAATTGGATTTGAAGAAGGCGCTCCAGAATCTTCCAGAAGCATGCCTTGTCTAAAATGGGATCTGAAGAAATGAGAAGGAATCAAACTAGTGAAGGCCCAGAGGGAAGAGGGGGTGTGAGAATGTAGATGAAGAGGCTGGTGGGGCCAGATCTTGAAGGACTTTGGATGCCATCAGGGGAATTTGGACTTTATCCTAACAGTAGCCGTGAGCTTTAGAGGGTTTTAAGTAGTGGTGTGTAATACCTGCTTTCTCTGTCTGTATGTTTCCAGTAAGTATTTGCTACATATTTACTGGGTTTAGCTTTTTCTTTTTCTTTTTTTTTTGTTTTTGAGACGGAGTTTCACTCTTGTTACCCAGGCTGGAGTGCAATGGCGCGATCTTGGCTCACCGCAACCTCCGACTCCTAGGTTCAAGCAATTCTCCTGCCTCAGCCTCCTGAGTAGCTGGGAGTACAGGCACGCGCCACCATGCCCAGCTAATTTTTGTATTTTTAGTAGAGACAGGGTTTCACCATGTTGATCAGGATGGTCTTGATCTCTTGACCTCGTGATTCACCTGCCTCGGCCTCCCAAAGTGCCGGGTTTGTAGGCGTGAGCCACCGCGCCCTGCTGGGTTTAGCTTTTTCATTGCCTGTGTGTACTGGTTGATTGATATCATTCAGAGTCTTGAATAGAACATATAAAACTGGGACTAAAAGCCAAATAAATAAAACAGTGTTTTAATTCCAAGACTCTACTACTTCAGAATTATGATAATTTATAGACGGGGCTATACGGTTTAACGTTTCCTTCTTTTGAAAAAGGGATTGTGAAAACTATATAGTATAAGCTAGTATAAATAAGATGTGTGGAGAGAATGCTACAGTTTGAGGATAAGCTGTGTTTTCTTTAACAGCTTTATTGAGATATGCTTTATATATCATGAAGTTCATCTCTTTAAAGTATACAATTTAATGGTTTAAGCCTATTTATGAGGATATGCTGTTTTAAAATACTTTACAGATGCATCATGTATCATTTGTCTTCTGATGACTGTGATGGCAACTTCAGATCCCCTGTATCTATCTACTGGTTTAAAATTGGTTTATGGTCTGTACTTAGTTAAGTCCCCCCAAACCAACCTTGTGTATAAATTGACAAGATTTAAACTGTACCACTGGGCAGAAGGTCAAAGGCAAGAGTTTTTAAAAGGGAAAAGCTTTCTTAAAACATAAACATAGGAGGTTTTTTCCCTCTCCGTTTTTGAGAATGAGGAAGCAGGTAGTCTGGGGAAAGGAGAAGGGTGACCAAAAGAGGCAAAGATGAGAGGACAGACAAAGATGTACCCAGAGAAGCAGAGTGATGGACAGGGAACAATAATCGGGGTGGACAGGATCTGAATGTCCCAGGTAGGAAGGGGGAGGCGTTGGTCTTTTCAACACCTTCAAGCGTTGGTGTTTTTTAGGAGCTGAGCATGGGCTCCATCTGGTGGCTCTAGGCTTATAGTGCAGCCAGTAGAAGAACTCAGACTTGGAGAGAATTGGCATTTGGTATCTTCTCCAGGCCCAATTTCAGTTGTTTTCCTTTTGCCCTAAGCTTTCTCATAGGATCATTGTTGGAGTCATTTCTTCACTCTTATCCTTGAATTTTGAATGTAATCTTATTGGATGACATCATCTAATACCCCACTGTTGCTGTCATTTATTGATGCCCTGAGTCATTGCTCCTAACAACTTCAGATTCTGTCTTAATGTCACTCTTTCCAGCATTATTCCTGTTAATTTGTGGTGCTTACATGCCAGTGACCCTGCAACACCTTTACCTCTCAATTATTACTCTCTCCTAACAATCCTTGTTTTATACTTCTCCCTACTCCCCTGCAGGATTCCTATGATTAATACCTTAATTTTTGACATTATCAATAACTACAGTGCCTCCATAATTTCAGTTTTTGAAGTCCCTCTCTGATTTCTGTCTTCTATATTTGAGGCTTAATTTCCTCTGGTACCTGGTACCCTTACTCTAACAATCCTCCAAGCCTCCCTGGAACCTTTAGTTCATTAGTTTCTATTATGTTTTCACTATTCTTCTCCTTCTTTACTGAGTGAATTTGAACTCCCTCACACACACCCTTTGCTCCCCTATCCTGTTTATTTGTTATGCAGTGCTTCGACCTGGCTCAGTCCAGTGCTAGCTTCTCTGTTCCTTCATCTGTTCAGCCGAACAAGGCTGGAGAAAAAGAGAGAACTTTGTTGATAGGTCTCACTTTAAGTTATTACCAGGAATTTCAAATGGGCCCTTACACAGCTAATACACATCTCATATACATGTCCCAGATGGAACTCTTCTCACACTGCTCCATCTGTGGTCATCTCCATTTGAATTGATAATGCCAGACCTCTACAAATTCAGCCCAGCCACCTTAGAGTCTGCCTTAATTCCTGTCTGTCTGTCTGTCTGTCTGTCTATCTATTAATTTATTTAGAGACAGGGTCTTGCTCTGTCACCCTGGCTGGAGTACAGTGGCACAGTCATAGCTCACTACAGCCTTAAACTCCTGGGCTCAAGCAGCCTTCTTGCCTCAGCCTCCCAAGTAGCTGGGAATACAGGTATGTGCCACTGCACCTGGCTAATTTTTTTGTTAACCTTTTTTTTAAATAGAGATAGGATCTTACTGTGTTGTGCCCAGGCTAGTCTTAAACTCCACCTTAGCTTCCCAAAGTGCTGGGATTATAGATATGAACCATTACACTTGGCTTCTTAGTTCCTTTCTTTGTCTCGTGCTTCACATATAGTCTAAGAGCAAATCCTTTGGTTGTACCTTCCTATAGCCAGAATTCTGACCATTTCTCACTGTCTCGGTCACATGCTCTTAGAATGCATGTATTGCCGCTATCCTGGTCTAGGCCATAACTGTATTTTGCCTGGATTACTACAATAGTCTCCTATAATAGTCTCCTATTTGGTCTTCCTAATCTCACCCTTATCCCCTGTAGTCCATTCTGCTTGCTACCTACTTAAAAGTTTCTGCTGAGAAGTGGTTCGGTTGTTATAAATTGTTTTTGTGGTTGGAATGTTTTTGTTTCCTCCAAAGTTCCTGTTGAAACTTAACCCCTAGTGCAATAGCATTAAGAGGTAGGACCTTTAAGGAGGTAATATTAGGGATCAGCACCTTTAAAAAAGGGCCTGAGGGCACGAGTTCAACCTTTTTTGTTCTGTTCCTTCTTCCCTGTGAGGAAACAGCATTCTAGGTATTGGAAGCAGAGACTGGGCCCTCAGCAGACACTAAACCTGCTGGTGCATTGATCTTGTATTTCCTGGACTCCGGAACTGTGAGGAAATAGATTTATGGGTTTTTGTTTGTTTGTTTTTTGGAGACAGAGTCTTGCTCTTTCAGCCAGGCTGGAGTGCAGTGCTGTGATCTCAGCTCACTGCAACTCTGTCGTCTCTCCCCGCCCCCCCATTTCAAGCAATTCTTCAGTTTCCTGAGTAGACTGATGGCCATTTTATGTTAGTTTCTCAATGAGAACAGATTGGCTCTAGACCACTCAGGTGGTATAAATTTGAATTCTGAATTCAAGTGAGAGCAGGTCTAAGATTATAAATTCTCTAGGGATAATCCTCCTTTAACTCCTAATGGATCCCAGGTCCTGTTATCTCCCTGTATCAGGGAGGTGACTTTTTTCATTAGTTATCCTGAAGCTGTAGTTCTCCAGTAGTCCTTGCTTTAGACTGGGGACTGGAGTCTCATTTTCAGCTTACCATCTCTGTTGGGTCCAAACTCTTGTCTCTCATACCTGCGTGAGTGTTAGAACCAAAACTCCTTGGTTCTGGAGACTGGAAAAACACTAATATGGATAGCTCAGTTGTAGTTTAAATTTAAGATTCTTTTTCATTTAGTTGTCTTTTTCCTGTAGTTTTAGCTGGAATGTCACTTACTTTCTGTGTGATCAACTATACATTTTAGGTGATGGTTACATTTTATTCAGTATTTTTAGATGTTTATAGTATTAGAGGTTTTCCAGGTTATCTGGTTTGCCATACTGGTAAAAATGGAAGTCTCTTGTCTGCTTTTTAATTTTGTAGGACTTATTATTCATGAAAGTTATTTAAAATACATTTATTAATACATTCTCCTATTTTTAAAAATGAGAAATTTACATACAAAGCTAAACCTTCCCCTTTCTCTCTTTCCTTGGGGTACTATTATATGTTTGGTCTATAGTCCCAGTGAAATGGCTTGAAACAAACCCGTCTCCATATCAGCCTGAATATCTGGGGCATTTCTTTTACAGTGCCAGAGGATACATTTTGTAGAAGCTGGCTGTTGGCTGGGTTGGGCCAACTCATACCTGATTTCCACTTATGAATATATTTTTGGGAGAAGAGATATTGAAAACAGGTGTGGGGAGGTTGCTTTAATATATTGTGAAGCTCACCATTTATAGCAAGGCACGTGGGTTAATTTGTATCACTTTTAAGTCACAGTAGCTCATGAGAGAGAATATATTTTTTTAAATAATAATCTTAGGATGGTTTATTGCTTTGTTACCAGGATCTTTCCACATACTGTCTCAGAACAACACTGAGAAATATGGTAGACATCATTATGCCCATTTTCCTACTAAGTAAAACTGAGGCTCAGTTTACATTGTTAATGACTCTCCTGAGATTATGCAGGTGGCAGATGGTAATGATGTTATTATACCCTACCATGAGACTTGAGGCCTTCTAGCTGTCTGTCTGTCTATCTATCTATCTATTTATTTATTTATTTTTAGGATGGAGTCTCGCTCTGTTGCCCAGGCTGGAATGCAGTGGCACAATCTCGGCTCACAGCAGCTACTGCCTCGTGGGTTCAGGTGATTCTCCTGCCCCAGTCTCCTGAGTAGCTGGGATTACAGGCATGCACCGCCATGCCCAGCTAATTTTTGTATGTTTAGTAGAGATGGGGTTTCACCATGCTGAACAGGCTGGTCTCGAGCTCCTGACCTCATGATCTACGTCGGCCTCCCAAAGTGCTGGGATTGCAGGCGTGAGCCACCACGCCCAGCCAAGGCATTCTTATATGTCTTTTTGCCATGTTGCCACTGGTGATATTCTTTATTAGGGCAAAACTAGGTATCAACTCATTATCGGCTCTATAGAATCAGTCTTTTCTTGCAGGTTTATTCAAGTCATTCATTCAGCAGGTTTGAGCCTCTGCTGTGTTCCAGGCACCAGAAACAGATAGGAGCTCTTTTCTATAACTGGGAGGAAAGTGCAGGTTTGACATTTGCTGATTGATGTTCTCTCCACTTTCCTCTGTAGAGTGATGATGCTCTCCAGCTGCCAAAGAAGATTGTGGTTGCCAAGAGAAAGGTAACCATTTCTCATCCCCTTGAGTGGAATTGGATGCCTCTAGGAGCGCACACTGGCTGGCAGTAGACATGGCCGAATTTACAAGCTACAAGGAGACGGCCTCCAGCCGCCACTTGCGGTTTAAGCTACAGAGTCTAAGCCGCCGCCTTGATGAGTTGGAGGAAGCCACAAAAAACCTCCAGAAAGCAGAGGATGAACTCCTGGATCTCCAGGACAAGGTGATTCAGGCGGAAGGTAGCAACTCAAGCATGTTGGCGGAGATTGAAGTGCTGCGCCAGCGGGTGCTGAGAATTGAAGGCAAAGATGAGGAAATTAAGAGAGCAGAGGATCTATGTCGTCTGATGAAGGAGAAACTTGAAGAGGAGGAAAACCTCACCCGGGAGCTGAAATCTGAGATTGAGCGGCTTCAGAAACGAATGGCTGAATTAGAGAAGCTAGAAGAGGCCTTCAGCAGGAGTAAGAATGACTGTACCCAGCTGTGTCTGAGTCTGAATGAGGAGAGAAATTTGACCAAGAAAATCTCCTCTGAGCTAGAAATGCTCAGAGTCAAAGTGAAGGAACTAGAATCTTCTGAGGACCGCTTGGATAAAACTGAGCAGAGTTTAGCATCGGAGTTAGAAAAGCTGAAATCGTTAACTCTGAGCTTTGTAAGTGAGAGAAAATACTTGAATGAAAAGGATAGAGAAAATGAGAAATTGATAAAAGAACTCACTCAAAAACTAGAGCAGAACAAAAAAATGAACCGAGAATATACAAGGAATGCTTCTAATCTGGAAAGAAATGACCTACGGATTGAGGATGGCATCTCTTCCACGTTGCCGTCCAAAGAGTCAAGAAGGAAGGGGGCTCTGGACTATCTAAAGCAGGTGGAGTATGAAACAAGAAACAAATCAGAAAATGAAAAGAACCGAAACCAGGAAGACAACAAAGTCAAAGACCTTAACCAAGAGATTGAGAAACTGAAGACGCAAATCAAACACTTTGAATCATTGGAAGAAGAGCTTAAGAAAATGAAGGCCAAAAATAATGACCTTCAGGATAATTACCTAAGTGAACAAAATAAAAACAAGTTATTAGCCAGCCAACTGGAGGAGATAAAGCTACAAATCAAGAAACAAAAAGAGTTAGAAAATGGGGAGGTAGAAGGCGAAGATGCTTTCCTGTCCAGCAAGGGCAGACATGAGAGGACTAAGTTTAGAGGCCATGGAAGTGAAGCTCCTGTGTCCAAGCACACAGCACGGGAACTGTCTCCTCAGCATAAGCGGGAACGACTCCGGAACAGGGAGTTTGCTAACAATGAGAACTCTCCTCTGAGCAACAGGCAGGTTTCTTCTCCCAGTTTCACCAACAGGAGGGCAGCAAAAGCTGCTCACCTGGGGGCAAGTACAGACAGTGGGACTCAGGAGACAAAGAGAACTGAAGACCGATTTGCACCCGGATCCTCCCAGAGCGAAGGGAAGAAGTCTAGGGAGCAGCCCTCGGTGCTTAGTCGCTACCCCCCAGCTGCTCAGGAGCACAGTAAAGTGTGGAAGGGGACTCCCAAGCCGGGCACCGAGAGTGGACTGAAGGGAAAAGTAGAGAAGACAACACGAACATTTAATGACACCACCCATGGATCAGTTCCCAGTGATGCACTGGGTAGAGCTGACAAGGCTTCTGACACCTCCTCTGAGACTGTGTTTGGCAAGAGGGGACATGTTCCTGGCAATGGAAGTCAAGTAACTCAGGCTGCAAACTCTGGATGTTCTAATAAGACCATTGGAGCTCTGGCCTCATCTCGAAGATCCTCCTCAGAAGGGCTCTCTAAAGGCAGAAAGGCTGCCAATGGCCTTGAGGCCGATACCAGTTCCCCAAATTCCAAGGCTCCTGTTTTATCAAAGTATCCTTATAGCTCTAGAAGCCAAGAGAACATCCTTCAGGGATTTTCAACCTCACATAAAGAAGGAGTTGATCAACCTGTAGCTGTTGTGATGGAAGATAGCAGTCAACATGAAGCCTTGAGGTGTCGAGTTATCAAATCCAGTGGCAGAGAGAAGCAGGACTCAGATGATGACTTGGACATAGCGTCTCTTGTTACTGCCAAGTTGGTAAATACCACCATCACTCCAGAGCCAGAGTCCAGACTACAGCCTAACTCTAGAGAAAAGGCCAAATCCCGAGGAGTACCTAGAACATCCCTATTTGAGAATGATAAGGATGCTGGAATAGAGAATGAATCTGTGAAATCTGTCAGAGCCTCCTCCAATGCCATGGAGCTCCCAGATACCAATGGTGCTGGGGTAAAAAGCCAGAGGCCCTTTAGCCCCAGAGAGGCCTTGCGGTCTAGAGCTGTCATCAAGCCTGTTATCATTGATAAGGATGTGAAAAAAATCATGGGAGGATCTGGAACAGAGACTACGTTGGAGAAACAGAAACTCATCTCCAAACCAGGGCCAAACAAAGTGACAAGCAGCATTACTATCTATCCCTCTGACAGCGGCAGCCCCAGAGCTGCTCCCGGTGAGGCCCCAAGGGAGAGGCACACATCTACCAGCAATATCCAGGTGGTGCCGCCGGAGCTTACATCAGTTAGCAACCACATCAGCTCTCCTTTTGAGCTCTCCATCCACAAACATGACATCACCCTGCAGCTTGCAGAAGCTGAGAGAACGGCAAATGGGCCCCTGAAGAACAGGCCAGAAACAGTGGTCTCTCGGAGCAGCATTATCATCAAGCCATCGGACCCTGTGGAGAGGAATAGCCATGCACCTCCAGCGGAGACAATCAGGTGGAAAAGCCATAGTGCCCCTTCAGAAGTGGGCTCCTCAGATGCCAGACATGTTACTGTGCGGAATGCCTGGAAGAGTAGGCGAGACTTGAAATCTTTAGAAGACCCCCTAACTCGAATAGGTAAAAACATGGAATCTACTAATGCCTACACCCAGCGGTCTTCCACAGACTTCTCAGAACTTGAACAGCCCAGGGCCTACCTTTTTGAGCAGGGCACTCGAAGGGTAGGACTAAGTTCAGGGGATGCCACCGAGCCCTCCTCCAGAAGGACCCAAAGTAGCCTCTCTGTGTCTGAAGTGCTTACCCGTCGGAATCGGGTAGGAGACACTGTCACTGTTGTAGCCTGGAACCACTCAGCAGGCATGGTGAGTTCCATTTCTTTACCTCTCTGCCCTCTCTCTTTTCCTTTCTCTCTCCCTTTCCTTCTTTGCCTTTTTCTTTTTGTCCTCTGCTCTGGCCTGTGACTCAGGAACTTAAGAACTTTGGGACTGGAAAACACTGATTAGAACTGGTTTCCTTAGAGAACTGTTGAAAAATCAGATGGGTTTGAGCTTTCTCCTAAAGACGGTTTTTGGCAGCATGGCTTTCCAAAATCCCTTTTTACAATTTGTCTTCTTCATTTTGCTCTCATATATATAATATATATAAAGGTGACACATCAAGGAAATATGTCTTCTCTTCCCTTGGTTTGCCAGAACAGCTAAAGGAGCTCCCCAGAGGGCCTCAGCAGCATGAAAGCACAAGGAGCAGCTGTGGCTGGTGCGGAGCTCTGGGCAACAGTAGAAGGCCTGTACCCTTTCTGTAGGGAACAGTGAGGGGAGCCAGGTCAGCAAGTTTTCGGTCGCCTCAGTTAGCAGATCTTCACAGGCTGCTGGCCTCTCAGGGATGAGGGGAGCTGGGGCTTACACTGGCCCTATTTTGTAAGCTTATATCCAATTCCAAGTGACACTTTCTTTTGCCCCCCAGACAGCTGTCTGTCTCATATCAACGGTCTGAGTGCAGGGCTGGTTCAGTATGGCTCATTACAGCTTTGATAAATCCAGAACCACCTGCCTTATGTGAGTGAGGGTCAGAGTGTCAGAACAGCATCTGGAGAAGCCCTTGGGAGTGCCTTTTCAATGTGAAACCTGTTATGATGAAAAATGTCTTAAGGCCTAGACACAGTGCTCCCTTCTTTAAAAAAGCAGATGACTCTGTTGGCTTGAAAAGCCCTGTGAGTCTTTACAGGGCACTTAACACTGGACAAAAGTACTTCACTACTCACTATCTCATTCAGCCCCTTGAATATCTGCCTTCTCATATTTCAGATATAGAAGCTAAGGGCCACGGACACAAAGTATCTTACCCAAGGTCACCCAGTTGAGTTACTGGAAGAGCTAAGACTTGAATCCAAGATTCCTGTCTCTAAATCCGATGCTCTTTCTACCCTGCTAACCTTTCTTACTCATACTTGTGTTATTGTTTGATCTGCATTTACTTGGAGGAACCAAGTAGAACATTAAAAAGGTAGAATTCTGGCCGGGTACAGTGGCTCACGCCTGTAATCCCAACACTTTGGGAGGCCAAGGTGTATAGAGGTCAGAAGTTCGAGACCAGCCTGGGCACCATAGTGAAACCCCATCTCTACTAAAAATACAAAATTAGTCGGGTGAGGTGGCACATACCTGTAATCCCAGCTACTTGGGAAGCTGAGGCAGGGCAGGAAAATCGCTTGAACCCGGGAGGCAGAGGTTGTGGGAGCCGAGATTGTGCCATTGCACTCCAGTGTGAGCGATAGAGCAAGACTCCATCTCAAAAAAAAAATTAGCCTGGCATGGTGGCGCATGCCTGTAATCCTAGCTACTCCAGAGGCTGAAGCAAGAGAATCTCTTGAATGCAAGAGGTGGAGGTTTCACTGACCTGACATCGTGCCACTGCACTACAGCCCGGGTGACAGTGCGAGACTCCGTCTCAAAAGAAAAAAAAAGATAAAATTCTAGCAGTAGAGAGAAAGACAGCTGTTTGGGCCCTTGAAGCTTTGGACATTTAAGAGGAGAGATAAAGGATGAGAGACAGGCATGTGAGCTTTTTGGTAGTTTGTATGTGGGAAGGAGGAAGAGAGCTGCCTGGACTTCTCTTCGGCATACTCTCCTGCTCCCCACCGAGGATATGGATCTCATCCCCAGAATCATGCAGCCTACATGCCTGTGCAGAACTCAGAGACCGATGGCCCCTCATTAGGGGTACCAGTTCCATGCCCCTATTCCAGGCTCTGTCCTCTATAAGGCTCCTGTTCAGTTGTGAGCCTCCTCCTAGTCTGCCCTGATTGTTCCCAGCAGCTTGGAGTTCCTGTTCTACCTGATTTCCAAGGAACTTACATATTGGCCCATACTCAGGCAAAAGCATATCTTTGCAGTTACCTTTTGGCCTGTCTGGGCTATATCTGCTTTGGCTAGGTTGGAAAGGACCCGTTGGGGTAGCAGGTGAGGGTATCTTGTTCCTTACTTTACTGACCTCCACAGCTCAAAAACTTTTGTTACTTATTGGCACAGGAGGAAGAGGGGGAAGATTGTACACTCAGTGTCTGCAAGCAACTGCACAACTCCTTGGACCCGTCTGAACTGCCTGTGAAGCAGGGGCCGCCAGAGCCTGGTCGTGTACGGGCTGAGGAACGATTACGGCCAACCAGGCCCTGTGCTGAGGAGAACTGAGCCAACTGGTTGTCTGTTGTCTGCCCTCTGCTCCTGCTTCTCAGCTCTTCCACTGTCCTGCCCCATGGAGGATCTAAGGCCAGTTAACCAAGCAAGACACAAGGCCTTGGGCTGGGAAACTGTGGTAGAGCCTGGCTGTGGCTCAGGTAATCTTTGCCAGTTGGCCAGAGGGAATCAGAGATTACAAGCTGGACAGTCACCTAGGCCCTGCCTTCCCCAATGCACGAGTCCTCTCTTTTTCCTTGTCCCTGCCCCCCAAGTAGTTGGACCATTCTGGCCCCCAAACGGGATGATAAAGTCCCCACCACACAGCAGCCATCAAAAGCTTTTCTCTGCTCCTTGGTGGCTTGTTTCTGGATCATAGGGCAGCCCCTGTCTGTGTGGTTAATGTTCTGATTTCTCAGTCTCCTCACTATATCCACCTTACTCCTCATTTGCCCTATGGGCCCAAGTACTCAGTAAGATTTACCAGCCATCAGCACCACCTAGGGGGCTTCCTTTTCCTTCTCCTTGGAGTTCTTTTCCTCAGACTTTTAAAGAAGAGGTCTGTGCTGCCTCTAAAGGATTATGAGACTACCCTTTAGGGTGAAGTTTGGCCTGGCCCCCTGGCCGACCAGTTTCCTGGGGGCAGAGCATGCAGATACCCATGCGGATACCCATTGGAATGATAGCATCCCTCCCCAACCCCGGCTCTCTCTGCTCACCTTTCAAAGGCACCTGGAGGTGCAAGCCTCATGCATCTCCTTTCCTGAGCACCAGTAGTGCTGCTGGCATCACCTGTTCTCTTTCCAGTGGAGACTTCAGGCTGACTTCATCGTTTCCACCTTGAGAAAATCCCTAGACTAAGCTAGGCCTGACCCAGCACACTCTGCCTTCTAGGAAGTGCCCAGTAAGGGGGAAAGCAGACCCACAGTGACTCCCCTTTAGTCACTGCACAAGCAATAGCTCCATGAGAGGGATGGACTGTAAGACTACTCCCTCCTGTTCCTCCTCCTCCATCCCCCATGGAGGAGGCATCGCACTTTACCCCGCTGATGCATTCCTACGCAAGTGGGCCCGGGATTTCTGCAAGTAGACTATCATGACTTCGTTGGAGGAGAGTTGATACATGCATACCCATTGAGGGCCTCAGGTTTATATAGTTCAAAATGCAGCAAACCTTTCAGAAAGCCACATAAATAAATTGGTTAGGTTCCTCATACCATTCAAATGGGGAAGTTGAAAAGTATATTCTTGGCACTGCTTTTTCTGTAGCATTCTCTCAATACAAAGAAGGGATCCCCTTTCAAAGGCTATCTTTATGAAGCAGATACTATTGCCCTCAGAATGAGAGAACATTAAACTAGTAGTCTGGTAAGCTGGATTTTTTTCCCCATGGCTTTACTTCCTTGCTGTGTGACCTTGGGTGAGTCATTGTTTTCTTGGAGCCTCAGTTTCCCTATCTGTAAAATGAGTTATTTGAAATGGATGATCTCTAAGGGCACCAAATCTGGTATTCTAAGGTTCTCCTGTTTTCACTATCCATAATAGTATGGAATGGTTTCTGCTTTTGGAAGGTATCATCCACATGGGTTCTTCCCTCCTGCCCTTCATTGTTTTTCTGGGCCTTGTTTTCTAGTTTCCCCATGTTTTAATCTCATGGGGATGAGCTCAGAGGAGCTCCCTGGGTCTGTTTCCCAGTCTACAAAGTAAAGGGATTAGATCAGATGGTCTCTGAGGCTCTTTGTGGCATCAGCCTTGCCCAGTGCCCCGTGGTGTCTCCTGGCTTTCTAGGAGTCTGCATGTTATGGAAAGTACCCGAGTCTGTGTATCTCCTGTTCCTGTGCATCTCCTATGAATTTCCTGGGAAGAGGAAGACTCAAGACTTCCTCCAGAGGAATTTATCTTCTCTGCTTCCACTCAGCATGGGAACTGGTGTTCATTCTGCTCATGTCTGCATCAGATTTGGCAGTGAGGAGGCTTGGGGAGCACCTACCTTACTTTCAGGGACAGGAATCTGTTGCTCATACTCCTGTTTTCTAGAGTTTCGGGAATCTAAAGGCATTGTCATGTGGCCTGCCTTTCCTCTCCACGTCCCAGCCTCTGATGCTCAAGATGCTGTTTCCAAGATCTCTTCCTGCTGCTTCTCCTGGCTCACTGGCCAGAAACTAGCTCACTCAAGGCTGCAATCTCTCACTTGCAGCCTCCCTGCCATTCTCCTTCACTGGTTGGCAACCTTGAGAGTTCAAAGGAAATCACTCTGTGGTGGTCAACTGAAGCTATAGGAAACTAGTAAGTCTGTGGCTCTTCTCTGCTGATGGAAACAGAAGGGCGCTAAACCATGCCTAAAAAGATCCCGCCAATAATTCTTGTCTTTGGGTGTTGGAGCCCTGGATTCTGGTGCTGTAGCTCCTGGTGCCAAAGTCTGGATCTTTCCACATTTCAGCAGCACCAACATCTGCTGCTACTCAAAATGCTCTGTGGAAGAGGGACAGCTGTGATGCCCTTTTGCTGGGGCTGCCATCTTGAAATCTGAGTGCAATAGGATTTGATTGTAATAGTTACTTCAGGATATTTTGTTTCTTTAATCTGCATACTTTCTAGATAGATTTTATTTTTAAATGTCCTCAGCATTGCAGAAAATAACATTGTAATAGCAAGTAACAGCTGGAGGCTCAGTTTCTCTGGGCTTCCAATGGCTGGCAAGGCTGGCTCTCAAATCCCAAAGTTGGAAGGCATGTTTCTGAAAAGCAACTGAGGTGTGACTGTTTGGACCCAGACCTCATCATCAGGGGTCCTGGAGGAAGCCTCCAAGTAGAGGGGAGACCTGGTAGTTGAATAGTTGTTTAATCAAGCCAAATATTCCCACTGCCCCAGTCAACAAACCCACTTTTATGACAAGTTTCTTCTGCAGCTGGCTCTTAAATTTCACTGGCATGTATGTGGTGGTTGGAGGGTTCCTAGTGAGTCGGGGGACCTGGCAGGAGAGCTGCTTGGTTGGAAGAAGTGGAGCTGGCTTAATGCCAGCAGGTGATCTCTTCTACCTGCCTTTTTTCTTTTTTCTTTTTTTTTTTTTTTTGCCACTCTGATACTAAACCAGAGAAAGCTGCAGGTGGATAAAGCAGCTGTGGCTGTTTTTTGCTTTTGGGTGGCAATGAAAAAGAGTCACAGTGTGGGTTAAAGGGATCTGCAGTGGGGTCAAGCATGCCACCCCACCCTCAGCTGCAGGCAAGCTTGCACATAAATCACCCCCTCTCATTGGAGTGTTAGGGATGCGAGGGGTTCTATACTGTTCTTGGACTTGTTGTCCTGGGGCAGTTTTAGTTCTTTATATTTGATGAGTCAGTGCCAAGTGCTACCACTTCCCAATAAAGGAATAGGGACCCAGACACTGGGTCCCTGGCTACCTTATGAGGTTTTGTTGTTTCTCTGACAAGATTGCTTTGGAAAGAGCTGCTTTTAGGGATTTTTTGAATACCCCGAGTGGGGAACAGGGTTCTCCTCAAAGCCTCACACCTAAGATCATAGGAAAGGGGCCCTATTTTCCTGCTGCTTCACAGCTCAGAACATATACTGAATGGAATGTATTTTTAAGAGAATAAAGTCTATTTTTTTGTATTTTAAAGATTGGGAGGGCTAAGAAGGTAGCCCTCAAACTGTTATTGCATTATAGGCCCCTTTGTTGGGGGGGGGCGGTCTGTTGGTCCACACCTACTCGCTCAGGCAGGTGCCCTGGTCTCACCCCTGCCCCTTGGAGTCTCGGTGCAGCAGCTTCTACATTCCTGCTCCAAGCAAGGGACCAAGAAGGCCGGAACCTGTCGCTGGAAACCAGGGCAAAGCCGTGAGCAGTGGCTCAGGGCTCCTTGGGTGCATGTGTCTAGTTGGAGCTGCCTGTCTGCATGTATCCTCTGGCTCTAATGCTCTCTGTTGGCTCTGCAGTACAATATGTAACCAATAAAGCTCCCTCGTTTCCATATACTCTGAGTCCGTGATGCCAGATTTGTTAATGTCATCCCTGCATTGGCGCAGCTCTAGTATATTTCGTTGTATGATACTTAAAATTGTACCTAACCAGTTACTCATACCGTAAGGACTGGAAACAGTGAGGCTTGGAAAAGGACACGCATAGGACCCACACAACTCAGCTAGAGTTATAAAAGACCTACCCTGGATTAGATACCCTAGCTCATTCCCATGAGGTACAACGTTGATGGAAGAGCTGAAGATTCAAATGCAGGTGTCACCTTTTCATCAGTTCTTCCACTTGCCCTGATCCTGGCGTGTGGGTTCTTTCCATTACTGTCACTAATTCTAAGACAAGGGAAAAAAGCCTCCATTTTCATCTTCCAATCAGACCACCAATATATATATTATCCCTTAACTCATACTGAGAATAAAACCGCGTTTAAGGGACATTACATGCATTTGTAGTAACACTTTATCTGTTAGGAGCCCCTGGGAAGGAACGGCATGTAACATGTTTTTACCTTATATGGCAAAAGGGACTTTGCAGGTAAGGATTCTGGGAGGAGGGAGATCATCCTGGATGATCCAGGCGGCCCTTAAATGCAGTCAACCACAGGCAGTAAGTAAGTAACCTTTTAAGAGGGAGACGGAAGATTTGACTACAGGCAATGTGATGATGGAGGTGGAAGCAGAGACTGGAAGGCATGTGCTCTGAGGATGAAGGAAGGAGCCACAAGCCAAGGAACATCATCCCTAGAAGCTGAAGAGGGCAAGGAAATGAAATCATTCCTCTCTGAGAGCCTCCATAATGAATGCAGCCCTGCAGACCCATTTAGACGGCATCAGAACTTTAGGAGAACAGATTTCGTCGGCCTTTTGTTTTTTGAGATGGAGTCTCACTCTGTCACCAGGCTGGAGTAGTGGTGCGATCTTGGCTGACTGCAACCTCTGCTTCCTAGATTCAAACGATTCTCCTGCCTCAGTCTCACAAGTAGCTGGGACTATAGCCATGTGCCAGCATGTCCAGCTAATTTTTGTATTTTTAGTAGAGACGGGGTTTCACCATGTTGGCCAGGATGGTCTCAATCTCTTGACCTCATGATCCACCCACCTCAGCCTCCCAAAGTGCTGGGATTACAGGCGTGAACCACTGCACCCAGCTGCCAGATTTCTGTTTTTTAAAAAGCCACTAAGTTTGTGGCAATTTGTTAAACCACCTAAGTTGCCTAAGCCCTTGATCATCATATGTAGTACTTCCCAAAATGTATACCACCACCTTTAGCAGAATTGGGAAGTTAGCACATACCCATGGAGGAAATCAGGAATAAAGGCAGACTGGTCTCCCAAAGGCCCAAACTTTGTTTCAGCTCTTGTGTTTTATCTTGAAAGTGCATCAGGTTTCCTAATAACTATGTTCTTGGCACCCTACCCAACATGGGGAAGTCTAGTCCACTGACCAGAAAGTCCACTGCTTCTACAGGACCATCCCATCTTCTGACCTGATCAAACCATTTTTCTTTTTATATAAACATCCTCCTTATTTAAATGTGGAGAAAACATATGTATTACTATTGCCATAGGATAAAATTGGCATTTCCAAAGGAGTAATACCCCCATCTTGTATGTAACTCCAACCCAAAGGAACAGAGGGTTAATTTTATATGAAGTTTTATTCTCCAAATATAAAAAAAAAAACAACAAACCAAGGGACTAAGATGTTATTTCACAGCACTTGCTTGCCTCAGTCTTTATGATGAACACAATTCCAAGCTAATGGACAAGTTCCTCCCTGTGCTCTAGGTCATTCAAAGGAGGCAAGCTCCTTTGTCAAATCAGGAGCGCCAACAGCCAATCAGGAGCCCAGATAACAGAGTGGGCGGTTCTCCGTGGGACCTAGTATTGCTAGAAGAGCCTTGCTTATACAGTGTAAGACAAGCACATGGGTCTCTTCCCTTAGAAGGTATCTGTCTCACATGCTTGGGGACTGCTGTGCAGGCACACCTGGTGTGGCCTGGCGAGGCAGCGTATACATGGCCCCCAAAAACTGGTCCGCAATTCTTCCTGCTTCTCTCAGCCCACTCAGGAGAGCACCATGCACTGTGGCTGGGTAGTTACGGATCGTATGTTCTCCCGCAAAGAAGAGTCGTGGAATCGGCTATTTTAGGGGAAAGAGAAAATTGGGGAATTTAGGAGATTTAGAGGAAAAAGAAAATTGGCAAGTTGCACATACCCCTTTATTCTTGTACTTAAAAGTGCTGAATTCCTATTGACCTTTAAAGGCTGATCCCCCAATTACTATTCATCATTCTATCCAATAGTGTCCCCATTGGTAGGCATTTTCCCAGAACTGACAAGTAGAAATGGGACAATAAACTACACCTAGCCTGAGTCCTAAAGTGAAGCTTATTAACATGTGTTCTTATCAGTTACTAACAGCCAATTCTAGAGCTCCCTTCCCTCATGTATAACAGTACCTTCTGGGAAGAAGCCTTGCTACCCTGAAGCACAGGACATTTGGTGATCAGGGACACTTCAGCCTCGCAGCTCAAAGCAGGTCTGAGCTATGACACTGAAGAACTCTTACTGCTCTTTGGACTGGGGTCTGGCATAAGGGTCTAGATAAGGACCCAGGGTTGTTTCTCAGGAACACCCTGGAAGCCCCTGGTAATTGAGACCTTGCAACAATCCTATGAGCCATTACAAATGGAAGTGCAAATTGAAAATGGTTTTGTTTTTTAGGGGGAAAACCTAAATAAGGAAAAATGTTACTGATTTCTACTCTGGACTCCTCCATTTTGAATGTAGACTGCCTAGATTTAAAACACCAAATTATGGGAAATCAGAAATGCTGCCCCCCTTTTAACTCTGTTCTTGGATATCTGAAAAGGTCCGAAGACAGAACGACTAAAATCTGGAAAAAAAAATCAATGACATCATGAGATCCTGGCCTCTTCCCAAATAGGCCCAGACAGTTTGCTAGTTTCTCACCTGTGGGGCGCCTGGAATTGAGGGGCCAGGAGTGATTGGCTGAGCCATTAAATCATAGTCATTTCCAGATGATCCTGCAGCAACATAGGAGTAAGAGCCTCGGGCCCAAGGATCAGCACGCCAACGGGACACCACAGTTTCTTTGGGCTAAAAGAAAGACCAGGAGCAAAAGTCATTATGAGACACCAAGGACAAATCATTCCTTGAGAAGCGGAAAGGCAATGGTGGGTGGGGATACAAGTGAGAGAAAGAGGTGACAGATGTGAGAGCCAAGTGATCAAGTGATGAACGCTCTGCTTTAAAATAAGACATGGACACAAGGACTTCGGATACCAAGGACACCTCCGTGTTGCCTTCCTGTCTATGAATCCAGTCTACTACATAGGGCTTGACTTTTATTCTCTTTTATAAATTCACATGAAGCATTAATATGCTTCCCTTCAAACGAATCCCAAGGGGTTGAAGTATTTCAAAGGGCCTAAGAACAGGAAAAAGTACCAAGAGGTTGAAGGCTTCCTTGAGATACTCACTGGAGTTCGGCATTTTGTCTAAAATGGCAGGGGTACGGTGTGACTCTAAAGCCAGAGGAGAAAGGCAGCTAACAGCCTTCAGATTCCCCAGCTCTTGTTCTGGGGGGTTTTCTGAACCCCATGCTTAGGCCATGAACTCCAAACATTAATATTCATGTAAAAGCGCGTACCTTAATTCAAGCTTCCAAGAGGACGCTGCAAATACATCTGCCCCATCCACCTACTTACCTGGGGTACTGCACTGCTTCCAAAAATCCCTTTGAGAATGGCCAGGCATCGGCCAACAATCACATCATCACTTATATTTTCCATGATACCAGCAGCTTCTCCTGCCACTAGTGCCAACAGTATTGGAGCTGGGGAAACAGAAAGGATAATTCTAGTGTTTTCCTACAGACTTTTCCTCAAAAACTTCCTTATGAGGCCTCACCTTATTCCTGGGGCTCTGAAATCTGATGATGAGGCACATGCAGCACCACTCAAATGCGGAGAGACAAGTTATGTTTCTGAAACAGTGTACAGAACTCTTGTTGCCAGAAACTGGCCAATAGGAGCTGGCAGACTAGAGAGTGAAGTAAGACACACAGGCACCTCACTGCTTCTAACTTGGCAAAATACAGCAGTTATGAAGATATAATTTTAGACCTTGCTAATAAAAGGGAATTATTAAGCATCCCTTTGTTTTGGCACAGAATTCTTAACCCTGACTACCTCAGATAGCTCCATGACAATGGCTACATTCCTTTTAGCCATCCCAGGCCTGTCTTCAGTCACCCATCTGGTGAGTATTTATGCAGCAGACTTACATGATAGGCACAGTCCTAGAAGAGGGGGTTAAAAAAGATAAACTATATACTCCAACAGAGCAACAGATACAAAATTACACAGATGATTATTAACTGTGATAGAAGTTATGAAGAAAAACATAGGCTACACGGAAAAGAATAAAAAAAATTAAATACAGGGATTTTTGCAGTGGGGATGTGTGTGTCGTGGAAGTCTTTGAAATACATTTAGGTCAAGATCTGTACACTGAGAAGAGTAAGACAGGTTAGGAAGGAAGGGGGGCCGAGGGGGTGGGAGTCGGGGGAGAAGCAGCCCCCACCCAGGTCTAGACCACAGTACATGCAGAGGCCCTAAAGCAGGAAACAGCATGGTACCCTCCAGGATGTGAGAACAGGCGAATGTGCCTGGAACCCGGGGATGGACAAAGTAGAGATGAGCTAGGTAACGAAGAACCTCAGCATAGGCCAAGATAAGGAGTTTGAACATTTTCTTTCAGCAGCATAAGGCCACTAAAAGAAGCAGGAATATCAGTAGAAGATACTGGTAACCATCCAGGAAACAGGTAAGAATGGCTTGGACCGGGAGGTAGGCAGTAAAAGTAAATAGGTTTGCAAGAGACTGTAAGGCTGGCACTGACAGGACTTGACAGCCTGGGTGGGGAAGGGAAAAGACACGCTGCTGTTGTCAGAAAGCAAGGTGCTCAGGGAATTGGGTGCCCCTCTGTGAAGCTGGAGGCCCTGGGGTGTGAAAGACCATTCACCATTGGGCCATGAGGAGTAATGGAAAGAACTGGGGGTGGGAGGCAAGCCAGTTAGCCGACGTGTCCGCACTGATGAGGCCTTATTGTTTTTATAGCCTTCTCTTGGAATGAGGTGGGGTACAAACATACTTTTTTTAAGTCTACATAGAGTTAAGTCCAATTACAGAAGAAAATAACTGAACAGGAGGTAGGAATTTGATAAGTACATTCTAAGGGAAGTAATCCAAGAATCAGGGGCAAGTCAGCCTGAGAATGAGGAATGCAAGCTTCCCCTGGTCGGAAGCCTCCCTGGGCCTGTCCCTCCAGTCTGAGTGAACCTCCAGTAACCTGGGTGTTCAGCCAGTCACTGTACCTAGTGCCCTGTTCTAAGGCTGCTTCCCCCCCTTACTGTGTCCCCACTAAGTTCCGAGTTCCCTGAAGACAGGTACTTTTTTTTCATACTCCAGTACCTAGAAGATATTTTTGGAATTGTTTGTTAATTAAAAAGAGAAGGCACATATATTGAGAAAACCTGAAGTAACTCAAATTCTATATTCCTATAAGGATATGGAAAAGATTAAAATTAGAAGGCATTTACCTTTATAGAGATTCCAGAAGAGGAAGAGCTCACCCCTGCTGGCAGTCGTACTGCCGACATGCCCAAACAAATTGACACTTGGATCCCAGAACACCCGGTCAAAACACAACACCACCTGCCATAAGAAAGAAGCACATGAGCTAGTGACAGGGGCCAGATAATACTGGCTTCAACAGAGCTGGGCCTCGACTTCTTCAAAGTCTCTTCTAATCTGCTTTCAAAATAAGCCCAGAAATGCTTATTATAAATTATTTAGGATGACATTTACACCCCCCTGTTTATAGGCCTGAGTTTGTGAAATGGCCCCATAAGACTAAGTCCATATGAACAGACACTTGATGATAGACTTAGGCACTGAAGAGAACAACAGCAACTCCTCAGCCCTGATGTCACAGTTGAGAATATAGCCAAACGTCCAAAAATGCAAGGCCCCCTCCTCACCAAGTAAACAACTAAGATTGATACTTCTGTCTACAAATCGGATACACAAGTGCCTCGGGCAAGTTACCTTGTTAAGGTTGCCAAATCCCATCCTTTGGACTGCAGATGTTTTCCACTCAGGAAGAGGTGGCACAAACTGAACAGCTGGTGGCTGCTGCTTCAGCACACCCAGGGGAAGGGTACAGAGAACTGCATCGCATTTATAAATAAAGGTTTGACTCGTGGAGCGGGTATTCACAGCTATCACTTCACATCCTGGAGAGGTGGGTGGGAAAAGACGAGTGGTGATGAATATTGAACATTTAGTGCACAACACCTGGACATCCATCTCTCAATTCTCATCTTTCTATTTTCATTACCATCATGTTTCACGTAAGAAAACGGAGGTAGAGGTGAAGTAACTCATCTAAGGCCACACAGGTAATTGGCAGAATTCAAACTCTCGTAGTCAACTTCAGAGTCCTCGATTGTCACCCCCACACTACCCTCCCAATATATTGGTGATCTAGACTAACGAAAGCACCTTACCACTTGATTCAAGTTAAGTACATTTAGATTAAAAATAAAGAGTAAAATGCTCATCCCAATAGAACCAATGTCTTCTGACTGTGGTTAGCTGCTCACTATTGACCAGTAGAAGAATGCTACCAGAAGACCATGATGCAGATCTAGGGGAGACAGCCTCAAACTGTGAAGCATGCTGCACCTGAGAATGCAGTGATCCTCAGTCTGTCAAAATAGAAATAAGCTCAAAGCTGACCTCAGGAAGGGTACTGAAATTATGTTAACATAATTTTCCTCATTTGTTTTCCTCCATTTATATTATATTATATATATCAAAATAAATATGAAAGCTCAGTACATGCTAATTTTCTGTGGCTGCAGAACTAGGGAAAAATGGCACAAAGATCATCTCACTGTTCTCCGTCTGCCTGCAAAAGGCTCAAGGCTACAGATCTCAGCACTGTCACCTAGAAGCTGCCTCTGATGGGAAAATTAAATGGAAAACTGTTTCACCAGTTCTTAGAAAAAAAACATCTGTGGTGATCTCAGCAACTCTAAGGAAAGGGGCCACACAGGGAAGATTGATGGCTGTGTCTCCATTTCTCATGCTTACACAGTCACACATGGTTCTCGGAGAGGGAGGTGACTAGCTATCTTAAGGAGTTCAAAATGCAACAGTGCTCTGCACTTTACCTTAAATGTAGTCTGAAACCAGCAATAATAATGAGCATTGAGCCTATCCCGATAGCAAGCACAGGGAAACTCCATCTCTGAAGTCAACTTATTAGCAGGACTGCTCCAGAACTAGGAACCATACCTAAGCGAATTAGCCCAGCTGAATAGAAAAGGCCAAAATGAATCCGAAGACCAAGATGTGGGTGGTGAAATATAAGGGGCGGATCCTACTGGAGCCCAGGGGCCAAAATCCTGGTATTTTAAATGTACTGAGCAAAATTAGATGCAAACTCACTGGCTCACCAAAACTGAAAACTTTTTGAGCTCTGACATGGTGCTCAAAGGAAATGCTCACTGCAGCATTGTAGATTTCAGATATTCTGATTAGAGATGCTAATATCCAACTGGTTCATGACAAATTGGAAACTCTAAAACTTGCTTCAATTTCCTGTTTTATAAAATGATAGGGTTAGAACCACCAAAGACTCCATAGGTTTGATCGTCTGTAAATGCCAATTTTTACCTACAGTGTCATAGTTTAAACACACTATCAGGGAATGTACCTACTAGGTGATACCTAACAAAAGATCAGTCCTGTTTCAGGAGAGTTCTATCTTACATTCTGGAAAGCAGTGACGTACCTGAAGCCGTGTAGCGAACCTGTCGCACTGCTGTATTCAGTTTAATGTCTAGGCCTTCTGCTAAAGCCACAGGCACACATGAGTAGCCATTCCTCACCGTCAGGTGGCTGCCAGTGAACTCAAAGTCATCATCCTAGAAAGGAGAGAAAAGAACATACTTCCAACCTTTTCTTAATCTGTATCATCTACACCTAGCTCTGTACAACAAACACAAGCTTGTGGAAATAGTCAATTGTTTTTTTTTTTTTTTTTTGGGACGGAGTTTCGCTCTTGTTACCCAGGCTGGAGTGCAATGGCGCGATCTCGGCTCACCGCAACCTCCACCTCCTGGGTTCAGGCAATTCTCCTGCCTCAGCCTCCTGAGTAGCTGGGATTACAGGCACGCGCCACCATGCCCAGCTAATTTTTTGTATTTTTAGTAGAGACGGAGTTTCACCGTGTTGACCAGGATGGTCTCGATCTCTTGACCTCGTGATCCACCCGCCTCGGCCTCCCAAAGTGCTGGGATTACAGGCTTGAGCCACCGCGCCCGGCCCGGAAATAGTCAATATTTTAAGGCAAACTAAAGAACAAATCACTCATTATTCAACAAGTTATCAAAGGAAACTGAAGGAAAAAGAGAAAACACCAAAATGTCTCTAAACACACCCACACAACACTCTCTCTATTTTCTTTCTTTCATATATATATATATATATATATATATATATATATATATATATATGAGACAGAGTCTTGCTTTGTCATCCAGGCTGGAGTGCAGTGGTGCCGATCTTGGCTCACTGCAACCTCCGACTCCTAGGTTCAAGTGATTCTCCTGCCTCAGCCTCCCAAGTAGCTGCTGGGATAACAGGCACGCCCACCACTCAACTAATTTTTGTATTTTTAGTACAGACAGGATTTCACCATGTTGGCCAGGCTGGTCTCAAACTCCTGATCCACCCACCTCAGCCTCCTAAAGTGCTGGGATTACAGGTGTGAGCCACCGCACCTGGCCTTCCCTGGATAGTATTTATCATCCCAGTCCAATACCACCAAGTCCTGATCTTCTATGGTGGTTAGGGTAGGGAGGTGGTAGGGGGAATTGATGATCCAGGAAATTCAGGTGATTAGACATCATTCAAGTTTATTCATCTGGCTTTTGAATATATTACAGACTTGAAGGATATCAGGGTCACAGTCTTGATTACATTTTGTTACCCGAGAGCAAAATCAGTTTTTATTTTTTAAATTTACAAGTTTTAAAAAATTGAGGAAGAATTCCAAAACTAAGTCAGTCAAACCAGATGAAGGTAATCTAGGATCATAAAGAGTGGCCCAACAGAGTCCATGCAGTGAAAAAGTCAAGATTTGACCTGCAATTTACAAATCCCCAAAATGATCTTATTTCTTTGAATTTACTGAAAATTTTCTATATAACGTTTTTTTTGTAAGCTAGTAAGGATTTCTAATTTCATGAAATTCTTGGGGAAATTAGATCCAAATACTGGGCTAGCAGCAACACTCTACTTCAGTTGAAATCACTCATTTAAAATTTAATACTATTACAAATGACACATTTTGAAATATCAAATGATAAATCAATGACTAGAAGGGCCTAATTTAGTATTTACATGAAAAACCATAAAGGAACTAGTAGTTCTGCAAGACGTTACCTCTAACAAGTCCAACTCTTCAAATACTAAAAAAAGCAGTTTCTAATCAGAAGATTAGGAAGTCAAAAAAAATTTTTTTTTTTTTGAGATGAAGTTTCACTCTTGTTGCTCAGGCTGGAGTGTAGTGGCATGATCTCGGCTCATTGCAATCTCTACTTCGCGGTTTCAAGTGCTTCTCCTGCCTCAGTCTCTCAAGTCGCTGGGACTACAGGCATGAGCCACCATGCCCAGCTAATTTGGTATTCTGGGTAGAGGTGGGATTTCACCATGTTGGCCAGGCTGGTCTCAAACTCCTGACCTCAGGTGATCTACCCACCTTGGCCTCCCAAAGTGCTGGGATTATAGGCATGAGCCACCATGCCCTGCCTGTCAAAATAATTTTTATTAGGAAAATGTATAATGTAAATTAAAATATATAAGTAAAAATATAATAATTTACTTCTATACAGTTTTTTGGGGGCTGGGGGGGGAAGATGGAGTCTTGCCCTGTTGCCCAGGCTGGAGTGCAATGGTGCAATCTCCACTCACTGCAGCCTCCACCTTCCAAGTTCAAGTGATTCTCATGCCTCAGCCTCCCAAGTAGCTGGGATTACAGGTGTGTGCCATCATACCCGGCTAAATTTTGTATTTATAGTTGAGATAGGGAGAGTTTCACCATGTTGGCCAAGCTGGTCTCGAACTCCTGACCTCAACTGATCTGCCCGGCTTGGACTCCCCAAGTGTTGGGTTTACAGGAGTGAGCCACTGTACCTGGCCTATACAGTCTTAAGTCGGGCCAAAGTATCAGATTTAGAGATTGGTCCAAGAAGCTCTGTGACTTCTCACTTGAAGAGTAAATCACACTGAAATTTAAGAAAAGATGGTAAAGCCCTGCCCACTGAGAACTATAAACGTCACTGACATAAATGAAAACGCATTTTTGGAGAAGTATACTGTGTTTAAGGATAAGAATACTCAATATTAAGATGGCAATTCACCCTAAATTAATCTAGAAATTTAATGCACTCCTAATCAAAATCCCAGAAGGTAATTTTTATAGAAACTGACAAGTTGATTCTAAAATTGTTATGGAAAGACGTAAAACCTTAAAATAGCCAAAACAATTTCAAAAATGAACAAACTTGGAGAACTTACAAGACAGCGTGATAGTGACATATGGATAGACAGATAAATTAACAGAAAAGAGCAACCTTAAATACTCATGCTTACATGGCCAATTAATTTTCAACAAAGGTGCCAAGACAAATGAAGAAAAGGATGGTGCTGGAATAATTACATAGCTACATGAAAGAACACGAACCCTTCACTTAGCTTTCACTATACACAAAAATTAACTCAAAATGGATTGCAGAGCTAAACCTATACAATTTCTGGAAGAAAACAGGATAAAATCTTTGTGACTTCAGGTAAGACAAAGATTTTTTTCAGGATACAAAAAGAACAAGGTTTAAAATAAAAAGTTTAAAAATAGGACAGGGAGTCCAAGGCAGGAGGCTCACTTGAGCCCAGGAGTTCAAGACCAGCCTGGGCAATGTGGGGAGACTTTGTCTCTACTAAAAATTTAAAAACATTGGCCAGGTATGGTGGCACATGCCTATAGTCCCAGCTACTTGGGAGGATCACTTGAGCCCATGCAGTCAAGGCTGCAAGGGAGCCATGAACATGCCACTCCCACCTGGGCAACAAAGCAAGACCTTGTCTCATATAAAAGAAGAAATTCAAGTAAAAACTTTTACTCTTTGAGACAGATTTAGAAAATTAAAGGCAAGCCACGGATGAGAAGAAAATAGTTGCAAAACATAAATCTGACAAAGGACTTCTGCCTAGAATTTAAAGAACATAATAAACTTCAAACTCAACAAGAAGACAGACTTTAATAGGCAAAAGATCTGAGCAGACATTTATTCAAAGATGACACATGAATGGCTCATAAGCACAGGAAGAGATGCTCTACATCACTAGTCATCAGGGAAATGCAAATACTACTATACCTATTAGAATGGCTGACATTTTTGAAACTGGCATTACCAAGATTGGTGAGGATTTGGAGCAAATGGAATTTTCATACATTGCTGGTGGGAAGGCAATTTGGAAAACAGTTTGGAAGCTGATTTATAAAGTTAAAAATCTACTTTCCACAGTATCCAGCAATTCCACTCATATTTACTCAAGAGGAAGACATGAACATTCTTAAGCAACCTCATTCATTAGCAGTCACAAAAGGGAAACAATCCAAATGCCTATCAAGGCACCAATGAATTCTACTAAATAACAAAAAGGAACAAACTACTGATATAAGCAAAAAAAGATGAATCTCAAAACTTCATGCACATCTCAACAACTATACTACATGAAATACATCACACACAAAAAGCTATGTACTGTATGATTCACTTTATATGAAACTGTAGAATAAACAAAATTGTAGTGATAACAAGCAAATCAGTGGTTGTCCAGGGCCAGGAGCCAGAGCATGGGAGATTAACTACAAAGGGGCAGGAGAAAACTTTTCAGGATGATGGAGATGTTCTATATCCTGTTTGTGTGGGGGCTTATGATGAAGTCTGGCAAATCAATAAACTGTTCACTTAAAATAGGTGAATTTCACCGTATGTAAATGATATCTCTTACTAAAGCTGTTTAAAAACACACAAAATTAAGTGTTTTTCTTACAATCCCTCTCAAAGACATGTGCAATAAAATAAACAATAAAAGAGATTTATTTACCTGATCCCAGTGTTTAAGGGAGAGAGTTGAGAGAGGTGTGGCATTAGCAAATTCAAGATTTGCAAAATGCCAATCAAGTATTTGTCTGTCTCTTGAAGAGAGATATACATCACTGCAAAAGTACAAAGGAGCACAGGATTATTAAAAGATACCACTAGTTCTTCACACTTAGTGTGATGTAGGTGATCTCACTGGGTCGGAACCTAAGCCAGGGCTGTGCCTTATGTGAAGAAATTATAAGTAGGATCTTATCTGTCTTATTAACCTCGTTATCTCTGATGTCTAGAGCAGCGTTAAGCTCACTATGTAAAGCAAATCACATGTAGGCCTCATTTGTTTGAAAAAAAGAAAAAAGAATTCTTCATGTGAAACCACTTTACATCATAAAAGCTTATTAGTTGTAAAAAAGGGTCTTATATCTTACACACAGCGTAGACACTATAGAAAGGATGCGCAGGCCCGACACAGTGGCCCACACCTATAATCCCAGCACTTTGGGAGGCCAAGGCGAGAGGATCACCTGAGGTGAGGAGTTCAAGACCAGCCTGGCCAACATGGTGAAACCCCATCACTACTAAAAATACAAAAATTAGTTGGGTGTGGTGGCGGGCACCTATAATCCCAGCTACTCAGGAGGCTAAGGCAGGAGAATTGCTTGAACCTGGGAGGTGGAGGTTGTGGTGAGCCGC